TCTGCCTCAGCCTTCCAAGTAGCTGGAACTACAGGCACACACTACCATGCCCGGCTAATTTTTTGATTTGAAGATATGAAGTCTCACCAAGTTGTCCGGGTGGGTCTCGAACCCGCGGGCGCAGGCAATCCACTCACCTCGGCCTCCCAAAGTGCTGGAATTACAGACTGAGCCACCGAGTCCGGCCAGCACTTTCAGGGTCTTGAACATAGGAACACTCTGTATATTTAAGTCTGCTGGATTTTAAAAAGAAAATCCTGTACCAGAAAGCCATACTGCTTTAGGCTAAGTTTATTGTAATGTGGTTGCAGTTGTAGTTCTAAATACCAAATAACTGGAAAAGTAAAAAATCATATGAACAGTTTTGTTGCAGTAAACCCACTTGTTAATAGAAGCAGATCTCTGCTTTGAAAAGAAATGTGCCTCTCACCTTCCTTCAGAGCCTCTTCTGCTGCCGGCTGTCTTCCTATTTTGGATTCTGGCCTAGATGCTGTGTGTTTTCTCCTCTTTTCCCTTGCGGGTTGACATTCTGCCTCCCCCCAACTCACAGCAGCTCTTGGCTGTGGTCCCATCTTCTGCCTTCCCGCCTCCAAGGGCCAGGCTTTGCACCCTGCAGGCCACCCAGCTCTTCATTGTCGCTGGAAACATCTCTGTGGCTTCTGCTTTGGTCTGTGCCAGAGCCTTCCTGGGACCCATGGGGAGGGTGTGAAGGAGAACGCTTTGGCAAAGGACCTTGCAGGGCCAGGCAGGCAGGATTCTTCTGGTGGCCCTAACAAGGGAATGGGTTCTATGTCTGGTTGGGAGAGAGGCCATGAGGCTAGGCCCAGGAGCGCCACCAAGGGGATAAGACTTGGCAGTAGTAGCTGGCAAGGGCTTCAGGGTGGGCGCATCTGCCTGTGTCTGTGGTTCCTGTGAACCAGGGCTGTCAGTACTGCCCTTGGACTCCGGTGTGTGGGGCTGTCCATGGTCAGTAAAGAGTGCAGGGCTTCCTTCTGCAGTCTAGGGTGGTTTTTCTGAGGCTCCTCTTTCTACTCATGCCACCTTCTTGTCCCCTCTGCCTACTCTCTGCATATCATGTTGGCTGACTTGCCTTTGCTTTGGTTTCTGCTCTGTTCTCCTCTCCTGTCTAATTCCTATGATCTCTTCTTCCTCAGCTTTGCCCTCTTAACCTTAGCTTTTGTAACTGTCTCGAGCCACAAGCATGCCGCCAAGCTCACCTGTGGCCATATTGCTCACTATTAGTTCATTACTACGTGGTGTCCTGACCTCCCCTTCCCCTGTGCACTCACCTTTTTTTTAGCTTCAGTGCTCTGTGCCATTGCAGGTAGTGTGGTAGGTAGGGGCTCTGAAGGAGCGAGGCTGGTGGGGACAGAGCTTGTGCCGCAGGCATGTCTCCTGCTCTTGGTGGAGGTGGGGTGTGCTTGTGTGTCTCCTTGGTCAGGGACCTTTGACTGCAGCCAGCTGAAGAGTGTGAAGCTGTGGCATGTTGCAGGTCACCTGACCAAGGAACAGCCACATCTGACCCTCGGTACCTTGGCAACTATGACAGTTGTTGTCTGTTCAAACTGCTGGCCTGATACCTTTCCTATTGCTGTATGCTTGGGTATTCATTTTGTGGTCATTTTTGTTTTTCCAGAAGTTTCTTTGGAGTGTCATGGTATTTTTAGATAAAATCTTGGACTCACTGGAGTAGATATATATCATTATTCTTTCTTCCTAGGTCTGAAAGTCAGGCTGCAGATGCAGAAAACAAAGCTAGAAAGTTTACGTTCCCTCTCTTTGGTGCCATGAAAGGAGGAAGCAAATTCAAATTAAAAACTGGAACAGTTGGGGTAAGTTGTGAGTCAGTGTTAAACTTTTAGCTCTTGAGCTAGTTTTTCTCTTTTTTTGCAAGTGCAGATGACTCATTCCATAGTAATGTGAGAAAGGGGGCTTTGGGCCTGATATGATCACATCTTTCCAGAAGTTGGTTCTTGGATTTTTTTTCTGCTCAACTTAGGGTTATCAAGAATTGGTGAATTGACCAGGCGCAGGCACTCACACCTATAATTCTAGCACTTTGGGAGGCTTGAGGCAGGAGGATCTCTTGAGTCCAGGAGTTCGAGACCAGCCTGGGAAACAGTGAGAACGCATCTCTATAAAAAATTGAATAAATTAGCCAGATGTGTTGGTGGATACCCATAGTCCCAGGCACTCGGGAAACTAAGGTGGGAGGATCGCCTGGCCAGGAGGTTGAGGCTGCAGTGAGCCGTGAGCATGCCACTGCACTCCAGCTTTGGTGAAAGAATGAGACCCTAACTCAAATATGAAAAGTTGGTGAATTGATTCATGCTGATCAATTTGTAAGTAAATGAGCTTTGGGATACTGGCTTATTAATTTCTTTTCTTTTTTTTTTTTTTGAGCCGTAGTCTCACTCTGTTGCCCAGGCTGGAGTGCAGTAGCACGCTCATGTCCACCACAGCCTCGACCTGCTGGGTTCTGGCAATCATTCCGCCCCAGCCTTCCAAGTAGCCGGAACTACAGGCGCACCCTACTACATCCAGCTAATTTTTTAATTTATTGTGGAGATGAGGTCTCACCATGTTGCCCAGGCTGGTCACGGTTATTAGTTTCTTTTTTTCTTTTGAGTTGGAGTCTCACTCTGTCACCCAGACTGGAGTGCAGTAGCCACTTCCGACCACTGCAGCCTCAACCTGCTGGGCTCCGGCAATCCTTCCACCTCAACCTTCCAAGTAGCTGGAACTACAGGCACGCACTACCACGCCCGGCTAATTTTTTGATTTATTGTAGAGATGAGGTCTCACCAAGTTGCCCCGGTGGGTTTCGAACCCACAGGCTCAGGCAATCCACTCACCTCAGCCTCCCAAATGCGTGGGATTACAGGCTGAGCCGCCGAGCCCGACTTCATTTTTGATTTATTGTAGAGATGAGGTCTCGCCAAGTTGCCCCGGTGGGTTTCGAACCCGCAGGCTCAGGCAATCCACTCACCTCAGCCTCCCAAATGCGTGGGATTACAGGCTGAGCCGCCGAGCCCGACTTCATTTTTGATTTATTGTAGAGATGAGGTCTCGCCAAGTTGCCCCGGTGGGTTTCGAACCCGCAGGCTCAGGCAATCCACTCACCTCAGCCTCCCAAATGCGTGGGATTACAGGCTGAGCCGCCGAGCCCGACTTCATTTTTGATTTATTGTAGAGATGAGGTCTCGCCAAGTTGCCCCGGTGGGTTTCGAACCCGCAGGCTCAGGCAATCCACTCACCTCAGCCTCCCAAATGCGTGGGATTACAGGCTGAGCCGCCGAGCCCGACTTCATTTTTGATTTATTGTAGAGATGAGGTCTCGCCAAGTTGCCCCGGTGGGTTTCGAACCCGCAGGCTCAGGCAATCCACTCACCTCAGCCTCCCAAATGCGTGGGATTACAGGCTGAGCCGCCGAGCCCGACTTCATTTTTGATTTATTGTAGAGATGAGGTCTCGCCAAGTTGCCCCGGTGGGTTTCGAACCCGCAGGCTCAGGCAATCCACTCACCTCAGCCTCCCAAATGCGTGGGATTACAGGCTGAGCCGCCGAGCCCGACTTCATTTTTGATTTATTGTAGAGATGAGGTCTCGCCAAGTTGCCCCGGTGGGTTTCGAACCCGCAGGCTCAGGCAATCCACTCACCTCAGCCTCCCAAATGCGTGGGATTACAGGCTGAGCCGCCGAGCCCGACTTCATTTTTGATTTATTGTAGAGATGAGGTCTCGCCAAGTTGCCCCGGTGGGTTTCGAACCCGCAGGCTCAGGCAATCCACTCACCTCAGCCTCCCAAATGCGTGGGATTACAGGCTGAGCCGCCGAGCCCGACTTCATTTTTGATTTATTGTAGAGATGAGGTCTCGCCAAGTTGCCCCGGTGGGTTTCGAACCCGCAGGCTCAGGCAATCCACTCACCTCAGCCTCCCAAATGCGTGGGATTACAGGCTGAGCCGCCGAGCCCGACTTCATTTTTGATTTATTGTAGAGATGAGGTCTCGCCAAGTTGCCCCGGTGGGTTTCGAACCCGCAGGCTCAGGCAATCCACTCACCTCAGCCTCCCAAATGCGTGGGATTACAGGCTGAGCCGCCGAGCCCGACTTCATTTTTGATTTATTGTAGAGATGAGGTCTCGCCAAGTTGCCCCGGTGGGTTTCGAACCCGCAGGCTCAGGCAATCCACTCACCTCAGCCTCCCAAGGTGCGGGATTACAGGCTGAGCCGCCGAGCCCGACTAGTTTCTTAATCATTCATTATTCATTCCTCATTCATTATTTATTTCTAATGAATGTTGCGTTTGAAGATGGGTGTCCATTAAATGCTCTTTCCTGGTGGATGGATGCCATGTTCAGACTCTACTAGCACTTGCTAATATATAGTGTGTGCACCTGCCTCTGTCAGATGGTTTTCCTTACTTCATTTAATCCTTCCAACCTCATGTGACGTGTGGGACTTTACCTGTTCTCACAAGTGAAGAAGCTGGAAAGATTGAATGCCAGATCACACAGCTTATGAGCCCGCACTAGCAGGTCCAGTCTTCTATCTTGGGTTCTGTGATCTTTCTATTGTTCTTAGTGTGTGTTTGTAGGTACATTTTTGCTTTATATGCATTTCTCTTTACATATTCTGCTTTTAGAAGGTTTCCATTACTCCTAAAGCTGAGCCTTGGGTATTAGTTTGCCAGGGCTGCCATAATAAAATACCACAGATTGACTGACTTGAGCAACAGAAATGTATTTTCTGGAGTCTGGAAGTCCAAAACCAAGAAGCCGACAGGGTTGGCTCCCCGAGGCCTCTCGGTCTGCTGCTGGCTGTCCCCTGCCACCTCTTCCCACGGCCGTCCCACCTCGCACTCATGCCCCTTGTGTCTCTTTCTCTTGTGAGGACACTAGTCATGTCAGGTTAGGGCCCCACCTGATGCTGCCACTTTAACTTGATCACTATTAAAGACCTTATCTCAAATGTAGTCATGTTCTGAGGTACTGAAGGTTTGTACTCCAGACATGAATTTTGAGGGGAGCACAGTTGAGCCCCAAACACCTTGACTTAGGGAAACTGCCCTCTCGTGGCAGAGGTTTGAAGTCCCAGCCATGTATTCTGAATGTGTACATGGACATCGTTTGCCTAAGAGGGAGGCTTTTCTGTGTGAGGGTGGAGTTGGGAATTGTTTTTTATTTCTTTTTTTGAGTAGGAGCCTCACCCTGTTACCCAGACCATTGCAACCTTGACCTACTTGGCTCAGGTGATCCTTCCACCTCAGCTCTCCAAGTGGCTGGAACCACAGGCGTGTGCTACCATACCCACTAATGTTTTTTATTTATTTGGAGAGGCGGTCTCACTGAGTTGCCCAGGTTGGCCTCGAACCCCTGGACTCGCAATCCTCTCACTTCCGCCTCCCAAGGTGCTGGGATTACAGGTGTGAGCCACCACGCCCAGCTTGTGTTTTAAATAGAAGAAAAACTCTCTAATAAAAAGCCCTTCTTGCCGGGCTCGGTGGCTCAGTCTGTTATCCCACGCCTTTGGGAGGCTGAGGTGAGTGGATTACCTGAGCCCGCGGGTTTGAGACCCGCCTGGGCAGGCGAGACCTCATCTCTACAATAAATCAAAAAATATTAGCCGGGTGTGGTGGCAACATGCCTGTAGTTCCACCTACTCGGAAGGCTGAGGCGGAAGGATCGCTGGATCCCAGCAGGTCGAGGCTGCGGTGGCCAGGAGCGGCCACTGCACTCCAGTCTGGGTGACAGAGTGAGACTCCAACTCAAAAAAAAAAAGCCCTTCTTGGAGGATGGCTGAGCTAAATCCTGTATTGAAAAGACTATATAACCAAAAGATACTTCGGTACCTCTACTCCATAAATGGTCACTTTTTCTAATAAGTACTTTTATTGAAAGACCTTGATTGAATATTGGACCTTATTCTTTGAAAAATGTCTTTCTTCGGATCTGTTTTACTGATTTGCATGCCTTGTTTTCCTGAAATTACGTTAAGTCTAAAATTTAAAAAAAGGTACAAATAATTTACTTCTTAGTAATGTGTGTCTGATTTATTCCTCTTGCTGTCATGAGGTGTCGTGGGAAAACACCTGCTCTGGTTCTTAGTTGGAGTAGACGTCTTAGTTCTCTACAAGCGTTTTGTGTTTAATAGTCTTGCAATTCTAGAAACTAAGGCGACACTTTAGGGTCTGTGGGTTTAATGTGAAAGTCCTGCTTCCAGCAGTCTTCTGTGGCTTCCCAGCCTCCTGGAGAGGTGTTTGCTTGTTACCCTTTTGTGTTTTTTTTGGTCACAGAAGTTACCCCCTAAGCGTCCAGAACTCCCTCCGGCTCTAATGAGAATGAAGGATGAGCCCGAAGTAGAGGAGGAGGAGGAAGAGGAAGAAGAGGAAGAGAAGGAAGAGGATCGCAGGAAGGAAACAGTGGGGGATGGAAGTAGCAGGCCGCAGCCAGAGGTGGAGCTAGAGGCGGCCGTGCCAGAGGCGAGGCCCCCCATGGACCTCATACTGCCTGCAGAAGCCCGAGACCGAGGTAGGCTCCTTCTCCTGGGTTGCTCAGTGGACAGCAGCACTGACTGCAGGTGGGTTGGAAAGCAAGGCCAGGGCAACCCCTTCGGGTCCCCTCCCACAGTGGGAGCGTTTCTGTCCTTTCAATAAATCCTGCTTTAAAAAAAAAAAGAAAAAGCAAGACCAGGGCTCATTTGTGCCTTTGGCTTTGTGTATGTGGCTCACGGACTCTGGAGAGGAGACATACTTTCTTGTTGTTCCTCCTGTTACTGCCAGTCATTTGTATGCCCCCTGCAAATTGAGGGCAGCTATTTCCAGTCTGCTCCAGAGTTACAGAAAGATGAAGCTGTGGAACGTAGAGCTGCAGCTGCTGTGATATCATCCTGGGCTGCCACCACCATATGAGTTGGTGGATCATGGAGTAGTGTGGACGATGGGCCCCTTGTTCATTCTCTCACCGTCCCTAAAACAGGCCAAGCATAAGGAACCTGCTGGACTGAAGTCCTCATGAAGGATCATGCCTTACTCTTCCTGTCCAGGAAACCTAACAGAAAACCTAGCATATGGTGTTGTCCACCCACCTCACACCTCAGCAAGTGTTTGGTGAAAAATGTTGAAAGAGGGAATTGATTCGTTTTTTTTGTTGTTGTTTTTTTTTTTTTTGAGTTGAAGTCTCACTCTGTCACCCAGACTGGAGTACAGTGGCCGCTCCCGGCCACCGCAGCCTCAACCTGCTTGGCTCCGGCGATCCTTCCGCCTCAGCCTTCCAAGTAGTTGGAACTACAGGCGCGCACTACCACGCCTGGCTAATTTTTGATTTATTGTAGAGATGAGGTCTCGCTGCCCAGGTGGGTCTCGAACCCGCGGGCTCAGGCAATCCACTCACCTCAGCCTCCCAAAGGCGCGGGATTACAGGCTGAGCCACTGAGCCCGGCTTGATTCGTTTTTAATACAAATATTTTTTCTGGTTACGAAAGAAATATATATTTATCTTAGAAATTATAGGTGGCTGGGCTTGGTGGCTCAGTCTGTAATCCCAGTACTTTGGGAGGCCAAGGCAAGTGGATTGCCTGAGCTGGCAGGTTTGAGACCAGCCCAGAAAACTTGGTGAGACCTCATCTCTACAATTAAAAAAAAAAAATTAGCCGGGCATGGTAGCGTTTTTAGTTCCAGCTACTTGGAAGGCTGAGGTGGAAGGATCATCGGAGCCCAGTAGGTCGATGCTGGGGTGGCCGTGAGTGCACCACTGCACTCCAACCAGGGCAACGGAGTGAGACTCCAACTCAAAAAAAAAAAAAAAAAAAAGGAATTATAGGTTATACATAAAAGTCCAAAGAAAAGAGAAATCCCCACAGTCACCCTAGAGGTCATTGCTTATCTTTTTTGTACCCTGTCATCCTCTGTCAGCTACAGGGACTATTTTCCTTCTGGTTGGCCAAACTGTTAGTGGAAAATAGGGAGCATGAGGGGAGATGATCAAAATTGCATTCCGTGCATGTGGGAGTGTGTGGGGGTCTACTTCCAAAATGAGCCAGGCTTGGGGCATGGCCCTTCTCCTGAGCTGCTTCCCGTTGTCTGAGAACTGTTTCCTTATCTGTGAGCGGCAAATCTTGTATTTGCATTCTCTCTTGTTTCATTATCGCCAAAATGCCAGCCTTCTTCAAAAGGTGCTTACCCACACGTGACTAAGTCTGGTCTTGGGCCATCCATTGTGAGGGTGGTCATAACTAGGTTGGCAGGAGTGGAGCCATAGGATTATATATATATTTTTTGTTTAAAGGACCTAAGTAGACTGGGCGCAATGTCTCACCTGGTAATCCCAGCACTTTGGGAGGCTGAGGTGGGAGGATCGCTTGAGGCCAGGAGTTCAAGACCACCCTGGGCAACATAGCTAGACCACATGTCTACAAGAAAAGAGGGGGACAACCAAAGTAAATATATGTGTATAAAAATAGATTTTGAAACTTGGTTTATAAGATTAAATGAGGCCAGGAGCAGTGGTTCACACTTGTAATCCCAACACTTTGGATGGTGGAGGCACAAGGACTCCCTGAGCCCAGGGATTTGAGACCAGTCTGGGCAACTTGGTGAGACCTCATTTCTACAGTAAATCAAAACATTAGCCAGGCGTGGTGGTGCACGCCTGTGGTTCCAGCTACTTGAAAGGCTGAGGTGGAAGTATCCCCTGAGCCCAGCAGGTCAAGGCTATAGTGGTTGTGAGCATGCCACTGCTCTCTAACCTGGGCAACAGTGAGACTCCAACTCAACAACAAAAAAATGATTAGTAAATCTTCAGCTGATGAGGAATTACTCCAGGCCTTTTTTGTTCCTTTTTGTTTTGCTTTTAATCTGGGGTCTCTCTCTGTCACCCAGACTGGAATGCAGTGGCACAATCACAGCTCACCACAACCTCCCACACTTCTGGGCTCAAGCAATCCTTCCACTCAACCTCTTGAGTAGCTATGATTACAGGTGTGCGCCACCATGCCCGACTAATTTTTTTTTGTAGAGGTGAGGTCTTGCTATGTTTCCTAAGCTGACCTCAAACTCCTGGACTCAAGAAGTCCTCCACGTTGGCCTCCCAAAGTGCTGGGATTACAGGTGTGAACCACTGTGCCCAGCTCCTTTAGGTTTTAATGAGTTTTGTGGGGTCTTTTTGTAACATTGGGTTATAATTTGCATGCTGTCTTATAACCTGTTTTCTTCTGTCTTAAGCTATTCTTTTTTAAATGTGGTTTTTAATTTGGGGTATGGTGATCTATCACATGCATATGCCATAATTTCTTTTCCAGTTGTTAAACATGTAGGTTATTTCTTAACTTTTGCTATTACAAAATACCTGTCTGTAATAAACCTTGGTGCTCATCTTTGACTTTTTGAAAAATATGTTCCTGGAAGTCAAGTTTCTAGGCCAAGGAGTATATACATTGTTAAGGCTTTTGGTAAATATTGCCAAAATGTTTTACCTCGAAGTTGGCTAGCTTTCTTAGAAGAGCTGGTGGTCCTCTGCTATACAGCTGGAGCCACATTACTTGAAAACCTTGTTAAGATTAGTTGAGGCTGATGATAGCAAAGCTAGATGGTTATATATGTGCTTCACTTCTCTTGCTTCTGGTTTTTTTCTTGGCTTTCCACCATGAATGAAATAATAACAGTATGCTCTGGTGCTGCTTTCTGTAGAAAACAGGCCTCAACTCAGCCAGGCGGAGCAGAGTAAAGGCTATCAAGAGATGAGCGAAGCCGTATTCCCGCACGAGGAACCCTCAGGCAAGTAGCTCAGAAGCCTCCTGTCCATTCTGTACAGGATGACTGGGCTTAGGGGGGTGTGGCACCAGTCTGCAGGTGACATGGAGGTGGGCCTTCGGGGTTGGCCGAGACAGAGTTGGAGTAGATGAGAGGCTTGTGCTATCTGTCCTGTCTCTTGGAGTTCCCTCTTCGCCCCACAAAGTACCCAGTACCTTGATGCTTCCCTCCAGCTTTGCAGAGCCAAATATGTGCCTCTTGTTGGAGTGATTCCAACTCTGTTCGGAGAAATTGGTTGACAGGTTGGCCTGTTAACAGGACAGCTTTTCTCTGGTGAAATGAGCCTCGTTTTCTACTTTTTTACGTGGTTTGGTCAAATTTAAGCCTTAGGATGTAAAAAAACGAAGCTTATTTGTGAAGGAAACATTTTCTTTTAATTCAGTCTTTACAGTAGTAAAAGGAATAGCTGAGAGTTGCACTGTCACAGCATCTTTTCTTCATAATTATAATGCTCTCATGAGGAGTTTTTCCTTTCCCTTTTACTTTTACCGAAAATAGCTCTTGCCACTTTTTCTTTTCTTAAATTAGCATCAAAGAATGAATATGAGAAAAGCAGAGATGAATTGAAGAAGAAGAAAACTCCTGGTCCAGGCAAAGTGAGTGTTTGGCTTTCCTGGGCGTCACGCAGGGCCCCTTGTCATGGCCCACATCCCAAAGAGTGAATGACAGCACTCCCACAGCCTTGACCTTCTCTCCAAGAAATCTGGGTTCTCTTTATTTCTGGGTTCTCTGTTGTCCTCATCCACTCTGTTATCCGCTCACATACAAGCTGCCTCTTTTCCTAGTTTGTGAATCTTTCTTTATATCCTAGCATGCCATACAAAGACATTGGATGCCATATTATTATGTTCCTTCTTTTATTACACACAAGGTGGAATGTAATATACTCCATCTGCATCTTAAATCATCCTGTGTCAGCAATATTAGGAGCTTATGGATGTACCTTGTTTAGCTCGTAGATGGACACTGGGTTGTTTCCAGTCTTTTATCACTATGGTGCTACATTGAATAATCTTGTCCATACATGGTTTTGTGAGCATAGGGTAAGCTCCTGGAAGTGGGATTGCTGGGTTGTAGCAAATTGTCCCCAAGAACCACCCTTAGGTGGGGTAATTCACAGGACTCAGCCCACGGTTGTGCTTGGAGCTGTGATTTACCAGGCACAGACAGCAAAGGGAAAAGGCAAATGGTGCAAAAAACATTTGGGGAACCAGACGCAGGCTCTCAAGGGTTCCCTTCCATCAGAGTCACACAGGACATGCTTAACTCCCCTAGTAACGGCATGTGACAGCATGTGTGAAATGCTCCTGCTAGGGCAGTTTATTAGAGACTCAGGCCCAGACTGACCACATAGGCATTCCCTGTCTCGTGTGTTCCTAAATTCTAGACTCCCAGAAGGAAAACAGGTGTTCCACATAGACCACGTCGCTTAAACAGTACCTGAGGCCCAGTGAGCCACTCTGAGCACTCCCAAATTCAAGTTCCCAGGTGCCAGCCGAGGGCCAGCCTTGCAAACACGCTTTCAAAGGATAACAGTCAGGCTTGTTCTGTTAGCCCTTTTCTGTACCTTGGTCAAAGGCAGATGCCAGATTTCCTGCTCTGGGGCTTATGCTGTTTAGTGCTCAGACCTGCAGTATGTCAGCTGCCCCTTTGAGGAGCATCACAGCACAGCTGGCTAAAGGTCCACTTGTTGAGGGTGGGTTCAGAGAGAGAATGCCCCCACATGGTTGTTTGTCAAACTCCCTAATGCAAACTGTTCTCTCTTGGTTTTTGTGTGCTGGCAGGAATAGGGACAGTGATTCTTAGAATTAAAATTTTCCCGTCTTCTCTTTGCAGTTCCCACCAATACTTTCTTCCAAATATCCCGAAGATGACCCAGACTACTGTGTGTGGGTCCCACCTGAAGGTAGGCTGCTTTTGCTTTTCTTTCCCTCCAAAATTCACTCGTTTATAGTTTTGAATAGGCAGTATATGTTTAAGGTTCAAAATAAGAAAGTGACCAGAGTATGTCGTGAATAGTCTCCTGGTGGAACAGGTGGATCTAGAGGCATATCAGCCAGATAGAACTTGTGCACCCTGGCTGGGTCCTTAGTCAAGGAAACAATTGCTGAAAACAAATACATCAGCCAGTCAGATATCTGATGATGCTAAGAAAGTCTTGATGTTGAGTCATGCTTTTTGGGAAAAGTTTTTTGTTTTTTGTTTTTTGTTTTTGAGTTGGAGTTTCACTCTTGTCGCCCAGACTGGATTGCAGTGGCATGCTCGCGGCCACCGCAGCCTCAACCTGCTGGGCGTCAGCGATTCTTCTGCATCAGCCTTCCAGGTAGCTGGAACTACAGGCGCGCGCTACCACGCCCAGCTAGTTTTTGATTTATTGTAGAGGCGAGGTCTCACCAAGTTGCCCCGGTGGGTCTCGAACCCGCGGGCTCAGGCAATCCACTTGCCTCGGCCTCCCAAAGTGCTGGGATTACAGGCTGAGCCACTGAGCCCGGCCTTGGGAAAAGTTTTTATCCTCTAGGATTATATACAGAAATGCTAGCAAATGAAGTGATGCCTGGAATTTGCTGACAATCATATGGCGTAGAGGATGAGGGAAAGGTGGGAAGGGGCAGTGGAGAAGCAGGGTTGGCCACGCGTGGGTCATCACTGAAGCGTCAGGAGTACATGCAGGCTCATTACAGATTTCTATTTCATTTCACGTGAACTTTGTGTTTTCTTTATTAAGTTAAAAAAAAATCTGTTTGCAACCTGCCTGGGCAACTTGGCGAGACCTCATCTCTACAATAAATCAAAAAAATTAGCTGGGTGTGGTAGCACGCGCCTGTAGTTCCAGTACTTGGAAGGCTGAGGTGGAAGGATCGCCGGAGCCCAACAGATCAAGGCTGTAGTGGCCGGGAGCGGCCACTGCACTCCAGTCTGGGTGACAGAGTGAGACTCCAACTCCAAAAAAAAAATCTGGCTATACCTTCATGACCCAGTTTTTTCCTCCAAAAACAACCAAATAGTACCTGTTTCTTATAAATACTTATATGTATTATGCAAAATGCCCATATAGGCAATAAAATACATAATATTTCACCACTTTTTATACACAAATGGAAGTGTATCCTACCCCTTGCTGTTTTGCACTTAGCATAAGGTAGAGGTTCTTCTGTTGTTGTTATGGACTTCTTGTTATTTGCTGATGGCAACATTCTTCTTTGTTATGGTGTGATTGTACTTACTGAAACAGTTCTGCCAAAGATTTAGCTGCTGCTTCCAATCTTTCGCCATTATAGACAACTCTGTCATAAGTACCTCTAACGTATGTAATTTTGTAATAGATGAAGTATAGAGGCATATCTGTAGTGAAATCATAAACATTAACCTGCTGGATCAAAGGTATGAACATTTTTGAGACTCAACGGAGTGTCCCAGTTTTATGCTGGTACCCACACTCTCAAGGCTGTGTACGAGAGACTTATTTCCCTGTGTGCTTATCACAGCTTGCTTTTTCTATGGATGGGGTTTCTAATATACTAGTAACTCATAGAAATTTAGTTATTAGTCATATGCTAATAAATGTTGGAGTAGAAGTGAATAGAGGACTGTATTTTGAAATTGTGTGTGAAAATTTCTATCATAGAAGAAAATGTTATGTCTGTTTTACTTTTGGCCTATTGATGTCTGGGTGTCTTTTCCCTCCTGATTTTGGAAGAGTGAATTTATTTTCTTTTTTATACTCTGATCTAGGCCAAAGTGGAGATGGCAGAACCCATCTTAATGACAAGTATGGCTACTGATTGCTTCAGAATCCCAAAGGAAGACCTTGTGGAATGTGGGCTACTTGGGAAAGCATGGTGAACTGAATGAATCAGGTGGTCGTTTGCCCAACCTGGTGACTGGCCTTCCTTGGTACTCTTGGCTTCCTTGATTTACCTGCTCATCAGATCCTCCTGAGTTGGGTATTTCGGTTTTAAAGTGTTTGTATATGTATGTAAAAAGGGAACCATGTATTATGAGAATTAGTAGAGTGAGAGGCATGACTCTATTAAAAGAAGAAACTGAAGATGTCCCTAATGTTTTATTTATTGCTATTTGAAAGTTGTTTTTCGAGACAGAGTCTCTTTCACTCAGCTTGGAGTGCAGTGTTGTGATTACAGCTCACGGCAGCTTCGAACTCTTGGGCTTAGGCAATTCTCCTGCCTTAACCTGCTGAATAGCTGAGACTACAGGCACCACCACCATGCCTGGCTAATTTTTTTTTTTTTTTTGAGTCAGAGTCTTGCTCTGTTACCCAGACTAGAGTGCAGTAGCACACTCATGGCCACCACAATCTCAATCTACTGGGCTCAGGTGATCCTCCGCCTCAGCCTTCCTAGTAGCTGGAACTATAGGCGTGTGCCACCATGCCCAGAGAATTTTTTTGTTTTATTTTAGAGATGAGGTCTTGTCAAGTTGCCCGGGTTGGTCTCAAACTGGCGGGCTTAGGTAGTCCTCTCACCTCTGCCTCCCAAAGTGCTGGGATTACAGGCGTGAGCCACCACGCCCAGATAATTTTTAAATTTTTTTTTGTAGAAATGATATTTTGATGTTGCCCAGGATGGTCTCAAATTCCTGACCTTGAGCAATCCTTTTGCCTTGGTCTCCCAAGGTACTTGGACCTAATGCTGATTAAAGTCGCAGCTTGTTTCATTAAGACGTAAAGGCTATGCTTGTCCTGAGCAGTAGGGTGCTTCTGGTGGCTAGGTTGTAGGATTCACTGATATTGCCTCCTCAAATAACTGTTGAAATATGAGATTATGCTATGAATGTGACTGGATGTCCCTGTCAGTCTTGGAACTAAAAATAGTTTCACAGCGGGGGCTTCCTCCTCCTACCAGCATTGAGAATAGACCTGACTTGTCAGGACATAGTTAACCGTCGCACCGCCTCCTACACTCAGGCTCTAGTTAGTCCTGGCAAAACTCAGCCTGCTGCCCAGCCAGCCAGCTGTGCCTCCTCTTGTGGACGTGTGCAAATAAGGTCATGAAGTGAAAGGCTGAACGTGTTCTGCCCAGTATGGAGAGGGAAATACAAGTCCCTTCTTCTCTGGAAACAGGAGGAAATTCAAGATGTTTTATTCCATTCCCTCCCCATCGTTAGTGCCTCACTGGCAATGAATGAGGTAGAGAGCATCTGGGTCAGGCTGAGGCAGCTGAGATCAGCAGGAGGGGAGATGCTGTGGCTGGCAGAGTGGAGTGGACAGGGCGGGGTCTGCCTGAGGTGGGCTACACAACACGCATGGAGGTGGGCAGGAAGGGAGATTCCGGGCCAGCTGGAGTGGACCAGGCAGAGCTTGCCTAAGAGGAGCCACACAGCACGTGTGGAGGTAGGCAGTGTCACTCAGCCTGACAGATACGGGCAATCTGGGCTGCTAAAAGTGATGAGTCCTAACCGGGCTCAGTGGCTCAGCCTGCAATCCCGCGCCTTGGGAGGCTGAGGTGAGTGGATTGCCTGAGCCCGCGGGTTCAAGACCCGCCTGGGCAACTTGGTGAGACCTCACCTCTACAATAAATCAAAAAATTAGCCGGTTGTGGTAGTGTGCACCTGTAGTTCCAGCTACTTGGAAGGCTGAGGCGGAAGGATCGCCGGAGCCCAGCAGGTTGAGGCTGCAGTGGCTGGGAGCGGCCACTGCACTCCAGTCTGGGCAACAGAGTGAGACTCCAACTCAAAAAAAAAAAAAAAGTGATGAGTCCTTCATCTCTCAAATAGGAGTGTTAGTATTATGAGAAACTGTTACTTTGGACTTCATTTAGACCAGCAGGGAGGAGCTGGTTGATGATGTAATAAGTGACAGGAATCTGAGTGCAGAGTGGCCATGCCATGTGGCATTAAAACTGCACAGATCAGTGGTCTTCAGAGGTGAAACTATTCAAGCAAAATTGAACGTGGAACCCTGATCCTTGGACAGGTAAAAACTGTACCTGCTCTTGGCATGAAGGCAGAGGGACTGGAGCACCTCATACCCCTTCCTCACTCTACCCTGCAGTGGTCGAGGGCTCTTGGGGCTCCACAGAGCAGAGCCTGCTGTAGGCGGCAGATCTGTGGGTGTTCTGGGGACTGTAAAGTCTAAGTGTGTGACTTGACAGTCGACATCAGCGTTGGCAGGCACCTCTGAGATGGTCTGCACGTGCACTACACAGGAGACGGGCAGTGACAATTCCTGGAGTCAGTTCCGTCTCTGTGAAGCGAGGACAGCGCCTCCTCAAAGCCTCAGACTTGTTCTGAGGATCGAACGAGATGACGTGGGCGGATGTGCTCAGGGCCCCATAGGCGTCTGCAGTTGCTACTACAGAAAGGGACAGGCCCATCCTCTTTCAGGAAAGAGATGGGATTAGGTCCGTGATTCCCAGCTGTGACTCATGTTAGAATTGCCCGAAGAGGCTGAAAAAATGTTTAATTCCATTACTTGGATCCCACCTCAGACCACTGTGGCCGGAACCCTTTGCCAGCCCTGCCAGTGATTCTGGGGCACAACCTGTGGTGGAAATCGCTGGAGCTCTTACTTCCGTGACTGACTTTCTGTTCAGGGCCACATAGTTCAGACTGTGCAAGCCGTGGGGTCGCTGGCAAGTACTTGGCGCTGCTGCTGTGGTGCCAGAGGCCTTGACAATACCCATGAGGAGGAGTGAGCATTTCAGTATTTGTTGATAAAAGCTCTAGGGTCACCCCTGCTCTAGGCGGATGAACTTCAAGGTCTTGTCTGGCTCAAGGTGCTCCTTGTGGCTGGGCGCAGTGGCTCAGCCTGTCATCCCAGCACATTGGGAGGCTGAGGCGAGGGGATAGCCTGAGCCCATGGGTTCAAGACCAGCCTGGGCAGCTTGGCAAGACCTTATCTCTATAATAAACCAAAGAATTAGCCGGACATGGTATCACGCGCCTGTAGTTCCGGCTACTCGGAAGGCTGAGGCAGAAGGATTGCCAGAGCCCAACAGGTCGACGCTGGGGTGGCCGGGAGTATGCCATGGCACTCCAGCCTGGGCGACAGAGTGAGACTCCAACTCAAATAAATAAATAAATAAATAAAAATGTTCTTTGTAACATCTTTGAAAAATCGTGTGTGTCCCAGTCCATGGATATTTGAAAAGTCTTCTCAAAAGGCTAATAATTAGCCCCTCCTGAACTACATGGGTTGCTGTGTGGCTGCCAGAAATCAAGGTTGTCCTGTCTCCTTTTCTCAGATGCAAAAGTAAGGTTGTTAGTTGTGAAGGAAAATACTCTGGTATAGCAGGAACTCAACAGGTTAGCTGTGTGCCAGCTCCCCCTGCTCAGCTGTCCTGACTCCCAGGACTTGCGAATCATTTCTGCCTCCACACTGAGTGGAAGCCACTGAGGCATTAGCGATGGCAAAATGATTGGGTTTGAGTTTTTGGTTTCTTTTTGTCTTTAGTTGGGGGTCTCACTCTGTTGTCTAGGCTGGAATGCAGTCCTTCCACCTCAGCCTCCCGAGAAACCAGGACTACAGGTGCATGCCACCACACCTGACTAGTTTTTTGATTTCGTGTAGAGATGTGACACGCACTGAGCCCGATGTCCCTTTGAGATACCTCAGTAAAGATGCCAAGAAAGCGGTAGAGAGAGCAATCTAGATCTCGGCAGAGGGCAGGAGGGTGTCAGTGGGTGAGGCCACAGGAGATAAGCCTCTCCTGTTTGCTGCAGGGAGCATAATTTTGCCTGTTTATGAGGCTCGCTTACTGGGGGAAGGTAAACTGTGTGTCACAGGGAGCAGCATTTTGGAGAGAAAGACAGGGGTATGCATGCACTTAACACTAAGACAAGTCTTTGTCCCCTTCAAGAATGTTCTAGGAGCCTAAGGTTTATCTAGACAGCCAAAACTTAACTATTTTTAATTAAGCATTTTCAATAGTGGCTAGGGTTGCTTTAATCCCCACTGTGCCAGACCCTGTGCTGGGTGCTTTGTGTGGGTTACCCTTGGATCTTCAGAATAGTTCCCTGAGGTAGGCACTGTTATTCTACAGTGACAAAGCTAAGGAAACGGAGGCCATGCACCCACGAGTTGGACGGAGGCACAAGCTGATTTCTGAAGCTAATTCTTAGCCCCCCAGTATATTGCTTTAATTTGTTTAGTAGGCTTTATTTTCAGGGCAGTTCGGGTTCACGGCAAAACTGAGTAAAAGGTACAAAGAGTTCATACATGCCCCCGCCCCCAAGCACAGCCTCCCCACTGTCAAGTCCAGCACGAGGGGTACGTTTGTCACTGTCAACCTACGTTGACATGGCCTTTCTCAAGTCCACAGCTGGCATGAGTGCTCTCTTGGTGTTGCACATTCTGTGGGTTTAGATGATGTGTCCACCATTTGCAGTGTCATACAGACAAGTGTCACTGCCTGGGAAAGCCTTGTGCTCTGCTTGTCAACTGGCTTGCCCCGCCCGGTGCCACTGATCTCTCGACTGTCTCCATGGTTTCATCTGTTCTGGAATGTCATCTGGTTGGATATTGCCTTAATTTAAAAAATTCAGCTGGGTGTAGTGGCTCACACCTGTCATCCCAGCACTTGGGAGACTGAGACAGGAGGATTGCTTGAACCCAGGAGTTTGAGGCCAGCCTGGGCAACATAGCAAGACCTCGTCTCTATTTTAAAATAATTTTTAAAAATTTAAAAATAAGAGAAATAAAAATCTAAAATTAAGGGTATTAGCCGGGCTTGGTGACTCAGCCTGTAATCCCACGCCTTTGAGAGGCTGAGGTGAGTGGATTGCCTGAGCCTGCAGGTTCGAGACCCGCCTG